ACCATCTGTTCTTCAAGTCTGTCCTATTATTTGTTAAAATAACTAAATGAGAGTTGAGAGAACAACTGATTTCAGCTTTAGTATTAATCACATAGACTGTACCAAACTGTTCTCTTCGAGTATCACTCTTCATCCTCGCCCCCACTAAAAGGATTTTTTACAGTTAAATGAAAGTTGGACATAGTGGTGTGCACCTTTAGTGCCAGCAACTCAGGTGGCCACAGTGGGAAGTGAACACCTTGAGCCCAGGTGTTCAAAACCAGCCTGACAGCATATCAAGCTCCTGTCTCAAAATATATATATAAATGTCATAGCAAACATTTCAAATACAGATGCTCTTTGACTTATGACGAGACAGTGTCCTAGTAAATCCTTCATAAAGTTGAAAAATCATAGATCAAAACATTGTAATTCAGGAACCATCTGTATATAAAAGTTCTTAGGCTGAGCGTGGTGGCTCACTCCTGTAATCCCAGCACTTTGGGAGGCTGAGGCCAGTGGATCCTGAGGTCAGGAGATTGAGACCATCCTGGCCAACATGGTGAAACCCCGCCTATACTAAAAATACAAAAATTAGCTGGGTGTGGTGGTGTGCGCATGTAGTCCCAGCTACTCAGGAGGCTGAGACAGGAGAATTGCTTGAACCCAGGAGGTGGAGGTTACAGTGAGCTGAGATCACGCCACTGCACTCCAGACTGCTGCGTGTCAGAGTGAGACTCTGTCTCAAAAAAAAAAAACAAAAGAGGTACTTAAAGATCACAAGTAGGGTCTAGAAGCTGTGGCTCACACTTGTAACCCCAGCAATTTGGAAAGCTGAGGCGGGCAGATCACTTGAGGTCAGGAGTTCAAGACCAGCCTAGCCAACATGCTGAAACCCTGTCTCTACTAAAAATATATACATCTACATATACATATTATATATGTAAATTAGCTTGGTATGGTGGTACACGCCTATAATCTCAGCTACCTGGGAGGCTGAGGCATAAGAATTTCTTGATCCTGGGAGGCAGAGGTTGCAATGAGCCAAGATTACGCCACTGCACTCCAGCCTGGGCAACAGAGCAAGAGTCTGCCGCCAAAAAAAATTAAAGATCACAAGTAGATACATAAGAAACTATGTCTTTAAGACCCAATCTATGTTTTGATAACTAAATGTGTTTTCTTAGCCTGTGATCATTATCTGATATTGACCTTGATAATTTCACAGGACTAGAAGCAGCATAAAGCTTTCAAAAGCTTGAGAGGCAGGATAACGTGTTGTGGAGCCTGGGACTCTGGTTTCTGATCCTGACTCCACCAATTCCTACCCATGATCTCTTTGTGCCTCAGCTTCCTCATCTAAAAACTGCTGATAATTTAGTACCTACTCCCTAGATTGGTTGAGTGAGACTTAAATGATTTAATACATATAAGGTATTAATATAGTGCCTATCCTGTAGTAAGCTCTCAGGAAATATCAGCTTGGTTGCTATGAGGTACAAAAACTTGTTTCCTTCATAACATTTTATTTATAAGCTTTAATTACATTCAACATGGGAAAGCTCCTTAATTTGCAGGTTAGGTTTCTTTTTTTAAAGTTCAAGACTCTTGGCCAGGCATAGTGGCTCACACCTGTAACCCCAGCACTTTGGGAGGCCAAGGTGGGCAGACCACCTGAGGTCAGGAGTTTGAGATCAGCCTGGCCAATATGATGAAACCCCATCTCTACTAAAAATACAAAAAAATTAGCCAGGCATAGTGGTGGGTGCCTATAATCCCAGCTACTCAGGAGGCTGAGACAGAAGAATCTCTTGAACCCGGGAGGTGGAGGTTATAGTGAGCCAAGATCATACCATTGCACTCCAGCCTGGATGACAAGAGCAAGACTCCATCTCAAAAAAAATAATAATTAAATAAAAATAAAATTCGCCAGGCGTGGTGGCTCACGCCTGTAATCCTAGAACTTTGGGAGGCCGAGGTGGGTGGATCACCTGAGGTAGGAGTTCAAGACCAGCCTGGCCATCATGGTGAAACCCCATCTTTAAAACAAAAAAAGAAAAGTAAAAAAGATAATAAAAAATAAAGTTCAAGACTCTTGTGCTTTTCTTTATAAATCTGGCCTGGCTTAGTCACAACAATAGATCGTAAGAATGGTAGTGTGTTTCTGAACATCTTTGGTATAAAATGATCATTTGGTTACAAGATTTTAGATAGTGAAATAACTACATTCATTTGTTGAAGCTTCTCCTGGCAAAAACAGACAAATAAACTCTGAGTGTTCTCTTTGCGGTGCTTCCTAGATCTTATGTTTTCCTAGTGTGATGTTCTTAATGTTCATATTCTCACTGTGCGTCTCTTGTTAGGTCCATGTGCTGACTTTCACTGTTCACATGTTGCTGCAAGGCCTCACCAACAAGCTGCAAGTCGGGGATTTGGACTCTTGTTTAGATATAATGATTGAGGTGAGACTTGCAGAAAGGAATTCCAATTTTATTTTCAGTGGGCAAAGGCCATAAAAAAATCAGTGCGCAAAATAAGAAATAATAATAGCCTGTAAAAATGAAAATAATGTAACACCCCATCTTTTAGATTAGCAGAGGTTTAAAAAGGTAAGACCAAAGTGAGATGAGCGCCCTGTCACTGCAAGTAGGTCATAAATTGGTATGCTCTTTCCAGAAAGTAAGTTGCCATTCTGTATCAAGAGCTTTTGAAATGAGAAAAAATTTTCAGTCACATTGAATCTATTTTTAAGGAATAAGTTATGTTCACCAGAGCTTTATAATACACTGGGAAATTAATAATAACTTTTAAAATTGGGCCAGGCACTGTGGCTCATGCCTTTAAACCCAGCACTTTGGGAGGCTGATATGGGCAGATCACTTGAGGTCAGGAGTTCGAAACCAGCCTGGCAACATGATGAAGTCCTGTCTCTAACAAAAATACAAAAATTAGCCAGGTATGTTGGTGTGCGCCTATAATCCCAGTTATCTAGGAGGCTGAGGCAGGAGAATCACTTGAACCCAGGAGGTGGAGGTTGCAGTGAGCACAAATTGTGCTATTTCAGCCTGGGTGACACAGCGAGACTCTGTCTTTAAAAAAAAAAAAAAAAAATGGATAGTGTGCTAATTTGGAGGCTACGATTGTGAAGAGAAATTTACTACATAACCTTTTGTTCGTTTGTTTTAAAATATAGACACTAACATTTTGAATTTCGATTTAAATATTTACATTAGACCAGGCAAAGTGGCTCACCCCTGTGATCCCAGCACTTTCAGAGGCCGAGGTGGGTGGATCACTTGAGACCAGGAGTTTAAGACCAGCCTGGGCTACATGGTGAAACCCTATCTCTGTTAAAAATACACAAGTTAGGTAGGGTGGCACATGCCTGTAATCCCAGCTACTTGGGAGGCTGAGACACAAGAACTGCTTGAACCCAGGAGGTGGAGGTTGCAGTGAGCCGAGATTACACTATTGCACTCCAGCCTGGGTGACAGAGTGGGTCTCTGTCTCAGAAATTAAGTAAATAATTAATTAGATTGCAAATATTCTGAGAACTTCTTGAAGGGTAACATCAAAAAAGAAGTACCTGTTCAGAAATAAGCAAAGGGAAGAATAAAAGAAAAAAAAAAAA